AGGTAACTAAAGGCTTGCTCAAAATGCCACAGTTAACCAATCAGTGCTATTATTGGACAATAGTGAGGCAGGTGTGTGTGATCGATGCTCTTGAGACATATTATTCTTCCTGGGGTTAAAGTTTCTGTTGTCAGAGGTAGACAAGAAAAAGGCATAACAAACTTCTTAACTTACATAAGAGTGACGTGTGAGCTTCCTTTGGCATGCAGACACTATTGTCGCCGACTTTAAACTCAGAATACACAATAGAAGAGAAGCTTGTCAGATGTCACATAACTTCCAAAAGTGCGTTCTCACAGTCATGGAGCTTATATTCTGTTTCATGCGCTTCAACACTAATTGTGTTTAGGTAGTTCTTCTAATCTCAGAGTATTTACTGTCAAGCTGTGCTTATGAAAAGGTCACCCTGGTTATGTTATGTTATGTCAAGTCCCAAAACCTTGACTCTGAATTAAGTTGCAGCTCAACAGAAAAGACTGAACAGAGTTCAAGCTGTGTTTCCCTTACCTAAGGATTTATAAAGAGTGCTGTTTCACTGTATGAACTTGGACTGGCTGTGTGGGATCTTTTGGATCTGTAGAAAACATATTTTAATTGTTAATATTAGATTATGGTAAATCCTGTAGCTGTGTCTGACGTGGATTAGGTTTATCAATAAAGTAACAGTGCTGTGCCTCTTTGAACGTCTGCCTCATTGTTTCCAAAACTAATGTAGGATCACTCCAGATGTCTAAAAAACTCAAAATACCAGCAGCCCACTAACTTTTGAACATGTTTTGATTGACCAAACATCTTGGTCCATGGATTATCCATCCATTAAATTATTCCATTCAATCTAGTAAACGAAAAACAGAAAAAAGGTCAATATTTTGTTTATTTATTTTTCTGTATAACCAAAAAATAAAAGAATTTAGCGTTTGTTTTCATATTTTCAGCTCAAAACAGAATATATAATAGAGAAGGAAACGAAAACAAAACAACAAATCTTATTTACAATTATTGATTTTGAGTGCGCCTGTTTTGAGCATACGTGCATGGAGGCTACATTGGCCTTCCAATTATCCTCAGCGACAGTTACCATGGCGAAAGATGCGACAGAGCGGTTCGAGTGCCAAAATCTTACGTTGTAACAGAGCTCTGGTTGTATTTTTTTCTACAGTCATATCTTCCTCCTTCAGCATGACCCTCCTGGCGGCTTTGAATAATACGTAGGATGCATCCATTCTCTACCGCTCTGGCCTGGAGTTTTTGGTCCATGTTGTTGGCTACTTTGTTGCGCAATGCACATGTGCGAACAGTAGAAAGGCACCGTGGGAAATGGGGGCATCAATAACCCGAAAACAAAAAGTAGATTTTTTCTTTTTTTTTCTTTCCATCTCTATTATATATTCTGTTTTGAACTGAAAATATGAAAACAAACACTAATCTTGTATGTTTTGGTTATATAGAAAAACAAACAAACAAAATATTGACTCGTTTTTTCGGTTTTTGTTTACTAGATTGAATGGATAATACACAGACCCATCTTGTACTCCATGGTTCAGTCACTTTAGAGGCTAACATTACCAGTAGCTGGCAGCTTCCAACTTTCTAACTTCTTTTGCTGGTGCTTCGGGTCATATATCAAAACATGCTGCACGACAACACTCTTAATTACATTTGCTGTAAAGGAAATTCCACAATTCTTGGCACCTCTTCAGACATGAAATGTTACAAAACAAGATTACACATGGACACATGCGTGTACAAAACTGAATAAATTATCGGGGTCTTAAAAATACAAAAAATAAAACAATAATTATTTAAGTGTAATTCCTCCTCTTCAGTCAATGCTCAGTCCAAGTCATCAGTTCTTAAGGTGGCGCAGAAGTCAAAGTTTAATGTTAACATTCAGGATAGTGGGTGAATTGGAGTGCAATACAATACAATAAAATAATATAATACAAGAATTTTATTGATCCCCAAAAAGGAATCATTAGTGCCATGTTCAATGTTTTTTTACCTTTATATAAATGCTGTGTCTAAATGAATATAAACTAATATAACCTTATGAGTGGAAAAGACCTTGCAGCGAACACAAAGAAGCATGAAATAATTTTCTCACATGCTTTGCTTTGAGAAAATAATGACAGGCTTGAAAACAGAAGTTCTGTTGCTAGTCAAATTCCAAGTTTGCAATGAAAAAATGAATAAAGGGTTTCAAACAGACCTTGGAATTCAAAAATGATCTGAGAGTTTTCAAGGTAATTTGCAGCTGTAGGGTTTGTCTGGTAAAAACAGGCGAGGAATTTTAAACTCTTCTTAAAAAAATGTCTGTGTGTATGTGTGTGTGTGTGTGTGTGTGTGTGTACTACAGAGAGCGATAATCTGGAAATATTTCAACAAAAAAATGACAGCTCAGTGATTTATGTGTGCGCTCAACACGGGTAACATGCAAAATACTAACTTGTTAAGCGTGTTGTAAGCGTGTTGTTTTTCCACTGTAAAGCCGCCTCTCCACTCCCTGCCCCTCCCTCGGCACTTACATAAGAAGCACAAAGACTTTTTATGTTAATTGAACAATATCAAAGCATGATGACGGGGCATTATATCACAGATGAGTCATCCTGATTGCATGGCAATGAGAAGTCAGCTGGACATTTCTGACGTCTTTGTCAAACAGGTCAGCAAAAGCACCCTTGGGTAATCATGTCAGATATTCTGTTATGAATTTGTTCAAACTGCTACTTGTTAAAAATGTATTTCTGCCACCCATCAATAAATAAATTGTCACATTTCACATTTTTTATAATGCTGTAGTTAAATTTAAGCGGGCTGAAAAACTGGGTGGTATTGGGCCATCCAGAACCTGTTAGCAACCCAGATTTAAAGTTTAAATCTCTGTTGTTTCTCACAGGGAAGAAGACTTAATTAACCCTACAGGGAAAAGTGACCCTAATCCAATTTTCTGCTCATATGCGACTCTGATTTGATTTTTTGTGACACTGAGAACAGCACAAGTCACATGAAATCTGATCTTTTCAGACCATGTCTTTGGCAATACAGCAGGTCAGAATAAACAAAAATCAAACCCTGTTAACTCTGTTAATTAAGACATTGACTTCAATTGCATTAATCTGTATTTTTTTTCAAAATTAATTAAAGTTAGCATTTATTTTAACATTAAAAAGAGAAAAAGAAAGACTTGTTTCAGATTTCTATTTGTATTTGCAGCAGTTTATTGTTCCTGGTAATAAAATAAATTCAAATAGGCACACAATTACCAACCAATCCATCAATGAACCAAATAAATCTTATTGTACCTGTAACTGCCACAGCTAGAGTGTAGCTTATATACTGCTTATAATGAAGAAGGATCTGAATTTTTGTATGTATTTCAAATGCTAACTTTGCGTAACGTGTAATGTTGCATTCAAGTGCATGAAAGTAAATCTTTCATGTGAGTGAATTATATGTAAAGTCAATGCAAAAACAAGATTAGATGCACATTCTACATGAATGACATGTGTGCATTTTGTGTCCCAACCCACTACTCATTTCAAATGCCTTTTCACCAGAGTTGAAAATATCTCAACTCAAGCAAATGTTCATGCTGTGATAACCAATCAGCATGGAGATACCTTGGTGAGAAATCAACAACAGACTGGCAGAGATTCATTCATGAGGAAAATGGAGGATTAACCGATTGTGACAGTACGAGGCCACCTGAGCTGTAAGAGACAACTTGTGTGTGAGACACTAAGACAGGCGTAAAAAAGAGCCCAGGTGGGAGAAAGAAAATGAAGAGATTTGATGATCTGGTGAGTCATTTAAACAAAACAGATCCTCACTATGTGATTAACCTCTGCTATGATTGATGTAAACAGACTGATCTGACATGCAGGAACCCCTACGCTTTTTCTCTCCTTTTCCATAATCACACGTGTGTTTGTTTGGGCACACTGCAGACGCGATACAAACATGCAAATTCTTATGAAAACCATTATGATACATCATAACCTGACTATACCCATCAAGCGCGATGCAATGTGTGATTTCGAGGTGAAAAAAGATGCGTCCCGGATGGAAGCGAGAAGACTGACACAACAGCAGACTGACGTTAAGCAAACTGTTAAAGCACACAAACCGTTGTCATATGAGAGATCCGACGCTATGACTCTCCACAAGTTGTCCTTCAGGTCGTTATCTTTGTAATATTTGTGTCTTTTATCAAAAAGCAATCTGTTCTTCGACATGTAAACAATCAGCTGGTCGGCCATGTTGGATATACCGGTGAATCAGACGTCGCAACAACACGCAATCTGATTGGTCAGAAGTGGACACACAGCATGCGAGACTCTAGAAAAATCTACCGTGATATGAAAAATAAATGCTGCAATATCGCAGGACGGGAAAACGTCGCTGATGTGAACACTTGTATTGACAGGATACGGGTTTGAAAAAAAATATTGACGTCCAAAATAATTGCACGAAAAAAACGCTCCCCGTTAGTAAGGACCTTTTGGGATAAATAAAGTTCTTCTTATCTTAATTTATCTCATCCCATGTTTTTTTCTCATATCTGAAAACACTATTTGCATTTATACACAGGACAAGAAACAAGAGGGGGCGCCAAAACCAATCCAAACAAAAAGAAAACTGCAGCAGCTTTAATCCCACACCATTTAACAGACGCTTCTGTGGGAATTTGAGCCTGCTGTGGTATTACGGTGGTATTTTGACAATTTTGTGGGGTTTTTTGTTTTGTTCTGATTAACTAATCACTTAATTATAAAAGAACCATGCAAAAACACATGCCTCTTCTGCTCTTCTGCAAACAGCCAAAAATACATTTTTGATATGGATTTATTGTCTTTTCCCCCCTCCAGCATTTCACATTCATATTTTAACACAGACTTGGATTTCCTTGACACCGTGATAATATTCACTGAGTTATAACTCAGACTACCGTGATAAATAGTCTGGTATGTAACTGGACCGCACTATCGAGATAACCGAGTCCCATTAAGTGCACTCAACCAGTAGTTGCCGTATTTCCTACAGTCCTTGAACCTGTCTTCTGACGCATTGGAAGGAGGTGTGTGCGTTCGTGAAAACGTGCGTGTGTGTCCTCGTGTGTAGGCTGATTGTAGTCCTCTGTATGTCGAAGCCTTCATAAATCTCCCCTCGACCAATGAGGAGGCTGCTGTTAATCTCCGTTTGGTGAAAAACCGGTGAGAGTCCGGAGGCGTCTCAGATCTGAATACACGCTTTATGAGGACGGAGGGGAAGAGAGATTTGAAGTTTGTGAACTGTGGAGATGAATGATTTTCTACAAAACTTTCTCGCAACTTTGATGCTTCTTGGAGGGTTCTGAAACGTTATCCTCACCAGGAGACAGAAAGAAGTGCTTTTTTGTGTTTTTTAACTTCATCCTCACTTCATCCAGACAACATCATCTGTAACATCATCTGGAGGATTGCTGCTGCTGCTGCTGGTGGTCTTCTTCTCGTAGCTCACAGAGAGTGGACATCCCGTTGAGTTCGGTCGTCATGTCCTCCGGTGATGTCTCGGAGCTGAGTCGGCGGGTCAGCGTGCTGTCTTGGGATCAGGTGCAGCGTTTGGACTCCATCCTGGGGGAGAGCGTCCCGATCCACGGCCGTGGAAACTTCCCCACACTGTCCGTGCAGCCCAGACAGATCGTCCAGGTGAGAGTCCGGTCCACTGAACTCAAAGCTATTTATACGGCTGCTTTTACCCAAACTAGATAATGCCTTTAAGAGTATTTCCAGCAACAACAAAGTGCGCAACATTTGCGCAAAATTCTAACTTTTATCGTCTTTGTCACCTCTTTAACTATCATGAGGCAAAACTGTTAAACTAGTCTACTTCTCCAGTTATGACACATACATTATAACACTTGATTTATACGAAAACACCAAAGAAAAACAGTCGTGGACGCACATCATGCTTGCCTTATTTCAGTCATACGCAGTTAGTGGCCCCCAAGGCGGTTAAGTGGGGGAGAGTTGCTCACCAGGTGGAAGAAAAGCATCTTTCACTGCGACATAAACTCACTCATGCTGCCAAGTGAAGTGAGTGATGGTAATAAAGGCGTGCACAAATAAAATCTGACTCGTTAACAACCTGTTGATTGTATTTAGTCACTGTGCGAACAGCTGAACTGGACACAACTAACTGCAAATCCAGTCTTTCCACAGGTGGAACTTTCCACTTGTCTCAGATATATGATTTCAATTAATCCAAATGTGGACGTTTTTCATAAAAGGTTCCAAAAAGTAGATTACATTCACCATTTCATTTGACATCTTGGTGAAGATGAACCAAGAATATTAACCCTTACACTGTAATTTCTGATACATTAACAGAAAGGAAAACACATCTGATCACTGACAATCTTAAGATTTGAGAAGATCCAACACTAGACTGCAGTTTCCCACATGCTCATTAATACTTCTTTTAACTTCTTTTTTTCACAGCTTTTATAAAAAAAAGTCAGAGATAATGACTGAGATATGGTAGACGTATCAGGAATGAAGTGTAGAGGGATTATATTGCCTGGGTTGCAGTTTTCCTGTAATCCAGGTTCATATTACAGTAAGGTAATTCATTTTTCCGTGGTGATCCCCTGTGGAAGACATACACAGCATTTTAAGGGCCTCTATAATCCAGGAGGCCCCCCTACCATTTGCACTGAACTTCCCCACTAATGCCTTTCCTTCATTACACAGTCCTCCAGGCTACAGAGACCCTGAACACTTTCTTTCCATGAGCCAGATTACTTCATTAGAAACTTTAAAAGACCGCCTTTCGGAAAATAATCCCAACGCTTATACAACATGTGATGAGAGGCACCAAAGTTTTCATCTGGTGCAAACATGTTAGCATGTTGGAAAGGAATTATCCAAAGCACAAAGATAAACATCTTAGTAACCCAGTTGTGTTTAAATGGAGCCTGGAGGTCCATGAAAACAAGTCTTGTTTGGATTATCTCTGCCAAAGCTTTGCGAGATATAACGAAAACATGTTAAACATACAACGTTTAACTTTTATAAAACTGATTATTCCCTGGTTTTTAATAGCTGATTGCAGTGACTCAGTTTTAATTGCATGTTTGAAATTCCACTCCCCTGCATTCCAAAACAGTTTCCATAGTAACAGTTTAAAGCAACTCTTACCCGTGTCTTAATTTAGCAGCAAAATGAATGCAATGAGATGTACTTGATGGCCTCAAGATTTAGTATTTGCAGAAATGCTGCACCGCTTTACCAGGGAGGTCTGAAACAGTTCATCTGTCCTTATTAAAGGCACAGTGTGTAGAATAGGGAATATCCCCAGCTCCAAAGTATTCATGCAGAACAACAACCACTATCTTTGTCTTTGACTTCCAACAGTGTTTAACTAGTTTGTCTGTTCTGTGCTTCTTTAGAAAATTGGCAGTGCAAGATGGCGTTATTTGTGGAAGGGAACCCTATATCTAAAAGACTGTATCAAAGTTAAAAAAAACAGAAAACGATCAGTTTCGATAGTCAGATTATTAACTATTTGGATTGATCAACAGGTCCGCTTTAACTCACTCAGCTCACTCTGAAATAATACTCTGTTGGTTCTTGGGAAATATATGCTTTGCTCATATGTGGTAGCTCAACCTCACAGTACTCATATGGTGTTTCAAGTCACTTGTCAACTAAGCTGTCAGGGAGCTCGTGAGAGTGAAGTGAGTGAAGTATGACGTTGAAAAGTGCTGTGGTGGTGTAAATTTCCATCATAGTGGCAGCAGGAAGACACTGCAGTAGCTTATCTATGGTGTGCCAAAAGGGACAAAAAAAGCACTGAATTAAAATAAGTGTCAATATTGGACTAAAGTCATTTTTATTATTATTTTATTATTATTATTTTATTAATTTATTATATAATTATATCAATCAGTAATGTTTAGAGGTATAGAAGAGGACTAGAGCACACTTATATTTATAGCAGAAACCCATCACACACATGAATATTGTTAATGTAGATATAAAAATAGACAACAGTTTGGCTGAACTCAAATATGCTAGAGTCAATAGTCAATAGTTTGTCAGTAATGAGCCATTAAAAACGTGTCTAAAAGGGTCTTTGACTAGTCTATGTTCTGATTAAATACAAATAAATCATTTGTATGAAGTTTTAGATTCTACTTTAGCAAAAATTGAGGCTTAATGACTTAAACATGTCAGAAATCAGAAATCAAGACACGCCCTCTTCTCAGTATCAAAATAATAAACAGCAAATCTGAAGTACCAAGGAGAGGCATGCCGTGTTAGTGACCTGTTAGCTTATTGTGCTAACCCAACCAACATTACATCCTCAACACCAACAACTGCACACTCAGCTGTCTAAAGTTACTTCTCTTTAAATAGTTAAATTTCTGCTTTTAGATTCACAGCTGAAGGATTGTGGAGGATAACCTCGACAGGAAATGTGTTTGAGTTTAGTAGAAAAAACTCTGTATGACTGTAAATGTTTAATTTTCAAAATTGGATTAGGATGGGAAAGACTGTTACACTCTCAATAGACCCTGACGTCTCCTCGAAGTCTTTACTTTTCTGGGTACACTGCTCTTTTTCTGCGCTTCACTAGCAGTAAGTCGGTGTCAGAGCACATTTATTAAGAAACGCATACCTGACACTTCCCCTGTTTTCACGTGGTGCATATAGACTGATTTAAAAAGTCTGCAAGGCATCATCTCTCAGTAATAGCACTGTTTTGACAACGTAAAAGTAGACGCCATGTTCCCCTTCATGGAATATGTCACGCAGGTTTAAGCTGATTTTAATACCATATGGGCATGAATGGAAACCAGTGGCTGACTTGAAGGAAGGAAAAACACACTCCTAAGACCCAAACCGCTGATATGTTTTGGAAAATGGATGACGGTAATGTGGGGTATTCTAGATAAATGGGCTAAAACATGCAAAACCACCAGTCTGCGACTTTAAACGTCAGCTTTTTAACTGTAAACCAGACAAAGCTGTCTACCTGAGAGGAACAGAGATAGTTTCAGAGACTCAGGAGGGTGACCAGTGGATCACACTCCCATCGAGTCAGAGGAGCCCCTCTCAATGGTGGGTTTGTCTGAGGGCCACATTTAAATAACATCTGTTTGTGGTCTGGTTGTGAGCGAGCCGCAGGAGCAGTGTGGGGAAAACTTTTACTGTTACCGACACCCCTGTACTCTCCCTTTCATTTACTGTTGACAGACATCAACCCACAGTCTGAATATTTGCTGACATACATGTTCCCACAGTGCGCTGCATCTAAAGAGCCTCACAGAAGCTTCATACCACATGATGATCAACACAGATATCCCATTTGTGTGTCGTAATTTGATGAGTGTGTTTATGTGTGAGGGTGGAGGTATGAAGGCCTCTGTGGTTTTTTTGAGTCGTATCTTTTTTCCAGCACCGCTGCTATCATATTTTAACTTACTTGTTGTGTCTACAGTAGATGTTTAAGATAGGTTTCTTCTTTTTTTTCTGCTCAGAGCTCTCCTTTCACTGTTGTGCTTTTGAAAAATGGGGGTTGTAAAGTGGACTGGACTTGAAGTCGAATGTGAGGAGTGGATTAGTGCCCGTAATAACACTGGGCTTGTGGGTCAGGTTTGACAACATATCTCTGTGGTAAGTGAAGACCAGCCGCCTGACTCTGCTGTGGCCTTGGCCAAACTGTAAACCAACTCCTCACTGGGCTATTGTCAAGAAAGGCAACATGAAGACGCCACATGCTCCCAATGTTCCCTAGAGGAGACAACCTCAGAACATTTAATTTAGACTGGTCTGTAATGATTTTTATTAGACAGTTGGTTTTCACTCTTATTACTTTGAATTCATTAGTTTGTAGATGTTATATCAAATGGATGGATGAATTAGGGTGAACAGTGTAGTGTCTTTCACTTGTTGTTTTGTAAAGTTTAGTGTTCCTTCAAAATAACTAAATCTGTATACTTTATTTATCTCTGGGAAGAATCAGTATGGGGTTTATGTTTACTTAAAACTTTCTTTTAAATCTTGCACACCCTGATTAGTAAAAGCTACTCTCTATTTCTATTATGTTTCGAGGTTTTATGCCTACCTGCTGTGAGTTTATTGTTTAAAGCTCCAATAGGGAGATTTTAATGAGATGTAAACAGATTGAAGTTGATTCTGTTGCCTTTTTATGACCCACAAAGACAATTTAGACTATCAACAAGTCTTACAACATATGATGTGTTATTTTTGATATATCAAACTGCTACAAGGAAGTCGGCATCAGAAAGGACAATTTCCTTGTATTTCAATTGCAGTGATTGACACGTTTGACTTTTAAAAGATAAGGAACTTAATTAAAAAAAACTCTTTGGTATGTGCAGATAGCACTCAAACTGACAGTAATGGAAATTTCCTCATAGCAGAGGAGTTCAAAATAAGTTTAAAAAAATAAATCCTTTTTTGACAATGTTTGATTGGGAAATATTGCAGAGCTCGTTACACTAACATAGGTTCCACAAGTGCCAGCTGTTAGTTCAACAGTCTACTAGTCACATAACTGCAGCTGTCTACTTTTTCCAATGTGTATTACAATAAGTAATCTGAAATAAGAAGTTGCCACCAATGTCTGCAGTTGCGTGGACTACCTTTTGTGTACATTTTAGAAGTGCTTACCTCTGCTTTATGCCAGTTCAAGTATGAAAAGACATCTGTCAGTCCTCCACTACATTCTTCGCCTGGCTGGCTACTTTTTTCCACCAGCTGACAACTCCATATGTTTGTGAATCGTCATGATACGGAGGCTATAGACCTTGATGCAGAAGTTGCTGGTTCAACTACCAGCTCTGACCTGTATGTTACTTTTTACTAATATTTATGTATGACTCTGACTGAGTCTGATCAAGGCAAAAGCTGATATTCCCTTTATCTGTTTCCCATAGAATAATAGTAATGAAGGTACAGTACATTGAAATATGAATGGATAATCATTGTCATCTGATGTTATTTTACCCACTAATTTTCCTCTCTTTCTTCACAACAGCATGTCCCACTGTGCTTTTTATAATATATCTTGTGTGTGTGTGTCCTTTCAACAAAACATTTTATTAAGATGCCTAATGACACAACTCGCTCCTGAAAGTTTGTGAAAAGCATTTTGTTTTGGTGAATATTATAAAGCAGCCTAACAAAAAAGTCAAGTTTTCATTGGATTTACCATGAAATGAAAATATCAGGCCCAACACGACTTTTGGACTCAAAGCTTTCAGAGAAAAAAAAGACTTCCAATATCATAAATACCATGAGGGTGTAGCATTTACATGATCTCTTCTTGTGAACAAGGTAAACATGACTCTATTTTATAGTGCTATAACTCTTCTGCTTTGTTGTGTTATAAAAAAATCTAGTATGAGGCTTTGTGTTCGTGTTAATTGTGGCGCCCCCAGTAGTCAAGGTGGTATTGCATCTTTGTTGATTTTTATCCTATCTGTGTAAGCGGTATTAAGAATTTTAACTTGCTTTCTTTAGATAGTTTAATGAATCGGTCAGAGGGGTTACAGCCATCAAAAATTACATTATAGAAATGTCTGTTTTTAACCTATGTAGGCCATAAAACATAATTCCAAATTTCAGTCTTTTTTAAAAAGAGTAAAAACTTTTCACACTGACTTCAAATGAGGTCCTCAGTTATCTTTGCTTGTTGTCAAAGAGGAAATGTCTGCTGTTGTTTAAGTAACATCATAGTGAACCATTCCATGTTAAGGGGAATTATCCTTGTTTTGTCAGCATCTACAGTTTACCGGCTTGTAAATTAGTTATCTTTTTACATGGACAAAAAAATCTTATAAGAGCAAAACAGAGAAAGTAACTGTGTTTAAAGAGGTCAAGAACTGCTTTTTGGCACACTTGACAAACCAACTTGATAGTCGTATTTTATCATGAGACGCTATCATGGTTTCAGGATGTATAAGGTAACAATTCTTCACATAACTTTCACTCTCTTCGGTTTTATCTTAGATGTCTGGCTCAAAAACCCAAACAAAAGTCTCCACAGATTGGTCTTTTGTTAAGAGTCCTATCAAGTTAAGTTTTTGAATATCTTGGAAAACCTTAAAAGCAGATAGTTTTTTTTCTTAGTTAGGTAACAGGATCAGTTTTCAGCCTTTGACTCACTTTTGTCCAAGCATACAGGTGAAGTGACCACCCGTGCATAGGAAACTCGAGGCAGCTTTTCAAAACAGAGGAAAATTCATCATCATCCCCCGCTGGCAGCCAAGCTACTGTACGACTCACTGGCTGGGTTAGTTTTGGAGTGAATTTGAAGGTCAGGGACTCATAACTCCTCATTCCCTGTCGCCAGTTCCTTGGCAGAGGAATCCTCTGACTCACTGCCCGAGGCGCTCGCAGGCGTCCAGGGCACTATGGGCTGGTAAACGGCTGGGTCATTTCAAACTGCCGTAATAAAAACACATTCAGGCCGCAGCTTAAATGAAATAGTCAAGGAAACGAATGAGACTGGAGAAGGAAAGTGGAGAGACTGTTATAAGTCGCCAAGGCGTTGTCAACACCAGACAGTCTGGTGTGTTTGCGGCTCTGTTTTTTTACAAGGTTTTTTTTTTCACTTGCTGAACGTTGGCGGAAGTGTCTCCCTTTCCTCGACTCACCAGGTGCTGGTGCGTCATGTGGGAAATGTAGGAACCCATTTTATTGTTGCTGAAGGACAGGGGGGTTGAGGGGGTGGCAGAGCTGTGCTTCCTCATATGCTCCTTTCAGGACCCCCAGATGGGCAGATTATGGCATGCTGTTAACTCCAACCAACTGTTTAAGTGTGAGGTCAGAGCAAATACTGCTGTGGGTTTCCCTTTCTGGATGGTTCAAAGATTGTCTTCTCACCTTCTGTATTCCCTGTCTGTGCACCTTTATGGGCTGGTTGGCGGAAAATGTATATTTTTTGTAGCACAGTCTTTATTTGTCGTGTTTTTGTAAATTAATTTTGAAAGAATGGAATGAAAATTCTTTTACCATAGGTGTTAATATTTTATTTTGGATAATTTAAGAGTTTTGACAGCTGAGTTTAGAAGATTACAAGCATTTCCATCTGCCTGTGTTGCAGATTGTGACCATAAATCAAACGACAGGCAGCACATGCAATTTCGCCGGTTAGCATCTCATGTACGCTATAGAATTTGTTTTTCTTTTCTTCCTCTTTGCATTTTTCTTATGGCTTTCCAGCTCCAAGATCTCCCCCAAGTTCACCCATACGAAGATCAGATAAATACCCACATTAAATAGCTCTTTGCCTGTTTTTTCAGTAAAGGTTTGAGTAGGAATGAAATTTGGGGTTTAGCGCAGTTAGCTAAGCTCATCCAAGTACAAAAGTAACCCTCCTTAAGTTAATTTATTCACTTTTTTCTCTTCAAATTGTAATCACTAGTGTCCATCAAATAGAGCACAATCAAAATTCAGGGATATGCAATATTGAAAAAAGTTATACTGCAACATTTTTCGTCTCCTGTAAGTGAAGCCACAAGTGAAGACGCTAAAAGATAACACTGTGGTTCTGCTGGCAATTCGTATGACTGCCCACACATTACCAAGAACTGGGGCAAACAGGTATATTTGAAATCCAGGGCGTGTCTGTGAAGGCAGCAGATTCATGTGCATGATTACATTACACAGACATGTGATACACAGATACAGTCTCTGCACGCAAAGCAGTCTGTTTTTGTGTTCAGGTGAAGGGCTAACCCGACAAGCTGTTATTATTGATCAATTATGGAAAATCAGAAAATGGTGATGGCATGATGTGTTTCATATCCTGCAGAATGCACACGCACACTGCAATCGAGACAATAAAGTGCTTCATCGCTCAGTTAGCCCTGTTACAGTTCACTTTTACTGAGCAAAAAAAGAGATATTTGTTGTCAGATTACTGTGCATCAAGTAAAAATAAGATGAAAAAGACCCCAACACATTTTAAAAGAAAAAGAAGAATTTGTCTTTGGTCTGAAATCTGTTGAATCTGTAAAGTAGCAGAGTACCGTTTAGTTAAGCTAAAAGTCAAATTGTAAAAGTCAGACAGGCCTGTAAGTAAATTTTTGGGGGATTACTTGCCTGTGTCTTCTCTGACAGAGCCTAACTCTTGTACCAGCTGTGTTTTTGATTTCTTCAGAATTGGCCTTATTTTGCTGCTTTTCTTTTTTAAGTGATGCAACAGAAGGAAGCATAAACATTTGAGCTGTCTGTAGCCCAGCAGTTTTCCCAAACATTGCAGAAGCGAAGCACCATAGTGGGATTCCAATGACCTGATAAATCTTTGTCTATCCAGAGTGTTTATATGAGAGCAAAGGGATCATTTTCTCAATACGAGTTAAAAGTTCAGAGCGTAACTTTCCAGGTTAAGTGGCTCTTAAACCAGAAAAACACTGGCTCATCATTTTCCACATTTCATCTCCGTTGTTTTGTTACTGATGGTACTTTTCATTGAAAGAATTTTACCTGTAAATGAGGTATTCAACTCATCAGAGGTTGAGTGAGTTTGCCTGAATTCAATACTCTGCACAGATGCTTTAGGATTAGAACAATCTAATGTTTTTATTACACTCTGGTTTCTTACGTTGCAGAATTTCACATTTCTTTAAACCTCTTATTTCATATGCAAAATCAAAAAGTCACATGAAAACACTTTTTACATACCTGGATATGTGCATAGGAGAGAAGTTGACAATCAAAACACAAAGACCCCTGTATATTGTCAACTGTACTTACAAATTCCCAGATTTATTGCCTTGGGACTCTGTGATATTTAATTTTTTACCAGGACAATTCATCGTGAGAGTTAAGTGCTAAAAGTTTATCACTGAGCAGCCCTGCAAAGGTGGTAAATGCAGAGACAGTCTTACTTAATTCTTGGTTCTGCTTCTTCTTGTTCTTCTCCTCGCGGTCCAGTTGCCAACATAAACGTTTGGTTGAGCGTAAACACTGATAGCTATAATTGTCTTTAACTTCTGCCAACTTATTTATTACTACTACTACATCACTGTACAAAGTATGTTTTACTAAGTGAGATCATGTGTAATGTTGCCAAAATAGATGGGAGAAAGTTTGCAAATTATGCCTCATGAAGACTGATTATCAGCTCAGTAAAAGGGTTTTGGTCAGAGAGTGGGACTTTTGTGAACTTTGAAAACTCACAGAATCTACATCTATCTCAGGGGATACTTTATTTAAAAGGTATCTGTGCTTGTAGAACTAATGGTTTGCGAAAGGGTAATAAGAAAACGTGGAATTCCCCTGGTTGAGTTTTTTAATTCTTATATGATTTGAAGAATCATCTTCATTTCTGTTTTTAGACCCTCATGCTTGTGCTTTAGATGAACTATGTCCCTTTTTCATCCTACCTTTAAAATGACTTAGTCAAACTTCAAGGAGAGTTTATTGAAATAAACTGTGTATAAAAATGACTTTTTTCATGTGTCATTATGCTTTCTGTTTGGCTGCTTTCATTCCCTTAGACTTTTCCTATCAGACTATATCATGTTTATTTGACAGCACCTCTACTGCTGTTGTTGACATGTCTAACAAGTCAAGAAGGAGCAGCTCCCTTCTTCTGCATGCACAAACTTGTTTTTTGTTTTATCTGTTTGAAGATATCCATCACTCACTCTGTCCTCTATCTCTGTATCTTTCAGGTGGTCAGGGCTCGACTGGAGGAGCGGGGTGTGGTGGTACGTGATGTCAAGCTGAACGGCTCAGCCGCCAGCCACGTGCTACACCAAGACAACGGTCTTGGCTACAAAGACCTGGACTTGATCTTTGGTCTCAGTCTCACTGATGACAAAACCTTCCGGCTGGTGAAGGACGTGGTGCTGGACTGCCTGGTAGACTTTTTGCCTGAAGGGGTGTGCAGGGAACGGATCACAGCCCTTGCCCTGAAGGAAGCGTATGTGCAGAAACTAGTGAAAGTTTGCAATGACACAGACCGCTGGAGTCTCATCTCCCTGTCCAACAACACAGGAAAGAATGTGGAACTAAAGTTTGTGGACTCCCTGAGGAGGCAGTTTGAATTCAGTGTTGACTCCTTCCAGATCACCCTTGACTCATTGCTCCTCTTCGACCGCTGCTCCGAGACAGCCATGTCTGAGACCTTCCATCCCACAGTTCAGGGTGAGAGCATGTACGGAGACTTCGAGGAAGCTCTGAGTCATCTTCGTTCCAGGACTATCGCCACCCGCAGCCCCGAGGAGATCCGGGGCGGCGGGCTGCTGAAGTACTGTCACTTGCTTGTACGAGGCTTCAGGCCGTCCTCGGAGTCCCAGATGAAACAGATGCAGCGCTACATGTGCTCCCGCTTCTTCATTGACTTCCCGGACATAGGGGAGCAGCAACGGAAACTCGAGGGGTATCTGCAGAACCACTTTGCTGGCATTGAACACAAACGCTATGACTACCTGATCACGCTGAGGAGAGTGGTGGACGAGAGCACTGTGTGCCTGATGGGACACGAGCGCAGACAGACTCTGGCACTAATTTCTGCTTTAGCACTGCGTGTTATGGCCGAACAACACGCCATCCCTGCGCTGTCCAACATCACTTGTTACTACCAGCCTGCTCCCTACGTCAGAGACGTCAACTTCAGCAATTACTATGTGGCACAAGTTCAGTCACCGATGGCTGCTTGCAGTAACACATATCAGACATGGCTGCCTTGCAGCTGAGCATTGACTCTTAAGACCTCTGGAGAGCTCTCCAGTCTAATCTTCGCTTTCATTGAAGGCTCGGTTTCTCTGTAGCAATGTGGCTTGGGGCCCAACATGGACAAGAAGGAGCCAATTATGCCAAATCTTATGTCAAAACCACCCCACTAAGTTATATTGATAAATACTGCTGTAAGAAAAAAGAAAAAAAACTCATTCGAGCCATTATACTTTTGTATTTGATGTTTCATAACCAATGTAGACATGTATGGAAAACATGAAGGGTTGATGTGTGACAGAAGAACTTTGCCAGTTCTGTTTCTTGTCTGATGGAGGCTTGCTTTGGGTCTTTAAAAAAAAAATGTAAATACTTTTGTACAAAGCCAGAACGCTGTGTTTTGTTCTGTCTGTGGTTACAACTGACTTGCATAGGAGGAGGGAAAAGGACCAAAGAAGTACTTTTTGTGTGTAGCATGACAAACAAAAAACTGTATGTGGTTCCAAGTGCCTAAAACTGACCAATGTCTTTATAGCAAAAACTGTGTAAGAGATGTTTTGAAACTTTTTCACCAAGGATACTGTACATTTCTATAACCAGGGTCAGGGTACATGTTTTTTTCAACTCATTAAAGATGTCAAAAAATGGGAAGATATGGTACACTGGTTTTTCTTTCTACCAAGAATTGAGATCACAACAAACTGCAGGGATTAAAATTCTGAGAGTTTCATAATTGTTATGATTGTGAGCAGTGTCAACTTGATGAAGAACAAATGATAGTGGTTATATAAATAAATTATTATGACTTTTATGAATTGAAAAACAAAAACAAAAACATTGTCTTCTACATGTTCAGTTAAAGTGGTGCAACTGGCCAAATATTTTTTATAATAATACGTTCATCATAGTTGTGAAAAAGTTTTGTTGGTCAATAAAAGAAAGGTAAGACAATTATGGAGCAATGATGAAACAGCAGAGGTCACTCCATGAAACAATGCTTTGTGACGCTTTAATTCAGACATTTTCTGAATGAAAACCATTAAAAGAAAGGTTAAAAAGTACAAATGTTAAATAAATAAGCACCCCTTGGACCTCTTCCCTTTGTTTTATAACATTTAGTGATCTGTGTACAGACCCAGCACTGCCCCTACTTGAGAAGAGTTACTGAGAGGGTAGTTTTATTTATCTTTTAGCATATCTAGATCTCATTCTTAAAAAGAGGGGTGAACATTAATATCAACAGCTATATCGTGAGTAGGCTACAGTATCCCATGTCATTTACTCCGGCCAGAATGAAAATGCTCAAGCTAATCTACCCTATAATGTACCAAAGCTAGCCCCAGAAACACTACAGGCGACACCTTACTGCTACAAATGCTCCACAAACCAACACAGTATAAATCACATTGGACAAAATGGTCTTGACATTAGCCCAAAAAGTCAGCGCTAGCACTTCTTTGTTATGTTTCCCAACTGAGCGGTGGAAAGTTAAAAGACAAAAGCACTGTGCCTGTGTGAGGGAGCCTCTTACTTGGTGTTCCACCTGCTGCCTCTGTAACTTTTATCTAAATTAATATGAAAGGCAAAAACTTACTTTTGACTCGAGTGAAGTTTGGATGAGCCCTGAAAAGTAGCTGTTACTCACATATTGACCCATTAAAATAATAGAAAACAGTGTTTCTGGACCATGCTGACACTTGGTTCCAGGGTCGTAGTCTTCATTTCAGAAGAGAGGGGGAACAAGATGAATTTTATGAAATGAATTATTAAAATATCTCCTCCCACTCAATAGCACCAAACAACCAAAAACACAAGGTGACTAGAAAAAGCATGAAAGTGACTATTTTATGAAAAGTGTGAAATAAATGTAGAAAAATGTCAAAAGATTTCACCTAAACCTCTTCACAACTCTCAAAAATGTTGAAATGTCGTAATTCTACGGCCTCTCCAGACCCATTTAAATTTGCATGTGTCAGGAGGACACCACACTATCTTCAGTGTCTTTCTCCAGAATGCTGGAGAAGTCCACTTGGATTTACAAGCATGTACATACACACAAAGGAAATATGAGCGCCAACGTATTAAAATGAATGTAACCTGTATAATATATACTTGACTTTTCGCCACATTATCTTAAAGCCATATTTGTTGCACTTTCATTAAACAGAATGTATCCAGAAAATATTTAAAAAGAGTAAAGACTGTTTAAAATGACGAGGACTTATGTAAGGAGCTCCTCTTCAACTTCTTCTCAGTCAACAGATAATATCTTTCTTTTTGCTTCAATCTCTGAAACTGTTTTTTTATATGCTCTGATTAGCTCAAAGTACTCTGGGGACATGCACCATGGATGCGTATCTCTTGTGTTTGTATCTGACTGGCTGAATTTCTGTCTATCTTTCATTATCCATCTTCATCACAAAAACCTCTGTGTGTTGTCTGTGCTCCATCAGCCAGACACCAACAGCCTGACACAGACGCTTTCTTGTTCAAGCTTTCTGCATTCTTCCCCCCACTCCCTGAAACAGGTTTCCCCTGAGCCTTGAACCGACACATTAGCCATTTCCTTCCACTTGTGCATCCGACAAGGGGTTTCCTTGGCTTCATTCAGGAAAGGGGAGGCTGAGTTGCTTGTCTTGGATGAGTTGAACTCTGAGGGGGCAGCTGAGGACCAGGTGGTGAAACAAGACTGCTGGCTTTTCAGTAAATGAGTTGATGCACTGACTTCCTGTATCATCAAAACAGTTAATCATTATGATCCACCATTTCTTTGCTATGACATTTTATTTTAATTACTTTAGCATGGGGAAAGACATCCTAGGGTTAAGTGTAGCATAAAGTGGCGTGTAGCCGGGTCACACCTGCTTACCATTGCTCCTGATGAAGCCAGAAATTACTTTACTGAAGGAATGCTTGTGTGAAAGGCTCGGTGATTTCTTAATAAGAGTTCATTTGGAAGGAAAGCATCTGTCACAATGATTAAGGGAGCGGGATAAAGATTCATCACGGGAAATATCTCTCTAAGGGTTAGCTGTCAGACTCGTCTCCAGACTGCAACAAAAACACACCAGGAAGTGGACGAATCCCCTGAGAAGTTTCACTGGAAAAAGAAAAAAGAAAAAAAACAGACATTAAAGTCACAACTGAGACCTAGCTTGTTGCATTCTTAACGAATCAGTGGTTTTTGTGCCTGGGCACCAATCACTGAGAGTCAACCAAAGTGCCATGAAAAACATCACTTCACAAATTAAAGCCAGCTGTGAATATCTATTTGTGAGGTCTTTTTTCTTACACTTAAACTTCTTGAAATTCCTAATGGCTTTGGCATGCAGTTAGAAGCGAAAGTATTAAGCTAATTGTATAAACATTCATTCGATGTATGCATAAGGCTTCCTACTTTTAATTCAACAACACCACCAAGTAGAAATTTGTCCTCATCCAGATCAGTTTTCAAATATATGCACATATAAACCTCCTTGAAATGTCTAAATGACCTGTCATCCCAGCATCTGTTATGTAAGGCTACCAGGGGTTCAACACTTGAACTGAATTTAGAGATCCCCTTGAATTCTTTCCATAGTAGAATGGGAGACGCTGGGTGAAGCCACCCCGAGAACAGCCCCCTCCGGTGACAGGCTGCAGTATAGGTCATAAATTCTGCCTCCTCCAGCAATCCCTATGACACTGTGGACAAACTTTAGAAATTTATTACACAGAATATAAATGTGTCTCCCCCCTGGATGCAATGTTGACATGTAGTTACTGTAAGACTGATTTGTGCTCAAGTCCTTTTTTTTTGGTGCAGCTCCATTTTCAAAAGTTATTAGGGGGTTCATGTTTTCTATGATTGACACTTGATACAGCCTATGGGCGTACGAAGATGGGTAGCTCACCCGGGGGGATACGCTGTTTGAAAAGTGGTGAAAAGCGTACAACGCTACTGCGCGATGTTGGTTTCAGGAAATGGAGAAAAATCATGGAGATACCGAGAGCTTGTTGGCTTCAAATCCGTATACTGGCGGAGGGCTGAACCAAGTTGTCCATAGTATATACAGTCTATGATTCTTACATGATGGATGGTTTGGATGGATAACTGTGGTTATCCAACTAAACACATTATTTGATAATCTCCTGACTTTATGTTTCTTCACACCAAAGTGTTGTTGGTTTCCAAGAGAATATCTAAAAAACTGTTGGGTGTACATCAATAATTTTCAAAGGAAGACACTGACTGTAAAGACAATTTAGACCTCAACCTAGAAATGTATATGTGCCATTTCATATACCTTTTAACCAACATGAGAGACTTGTGAAAAAAAGGTTCCTAGACCATGAAACTTAAGTGTTTCTAGAGCACCATAAATTTGACACAGTCTTCACAACATTTTTGAGTAGTTAGAGTAGATAGATTATCATGAAATCTGGTACTCCTCTGGTTTTGTTGTTAAGACCCTAATAAAACTCACACTATCCCCTAAGAGTCCAGGGTTCCAAGGTTTTTATTACGGAAAATCCTGTTGCCTTGCTAAGCTGTGATTCAGTAAAGCCTCAAACATTGATTTAGGAGTCATGCCATAGATGTTTATTTTTTAACACAAACTCTATCATTAAAGGGAAGAGAGACAGTTTATGGGTTATACATTGTGGGTTTAAGACAAAGAGGTTTGTTCTTATCTGGACAGATACAACACATAAACCCAACACTGGTAAGTAAGTTCATTTTGCTCACTGCCCCACACCGGCTCTTAGCAGCTTGGCCTTCTCACCGCTGTATTCTTCGGTCGACATGGGTGGGCCCTTTTGGGTTTGACTCCCACCACAGACACTGAGGCCCTAAAGGTCCTGTTATCACAGTTCCCCTCCTTTCTGTGTCAGTCTGCTGTGAAGAGTAATCTCAGTCTGATGATCGCTGTGTGCATGCTGTTCATGAGTGGGGTGGGTTTGCATACCGGCTGATTAGATTATGGGAATGTCTTCTTTAGTGGTGACTGAAACCACCTGGGGGACGATGGGAAGGGTCAGGATGAGTGTGGAGCCTACAGTGGTCTCCAGTGTAACAAACTGTTCATCGTTGTCAACTCTCGGCTCCCTTTCTGGGAATATTTGCTGCCTGGGGAGATTGTTATCAAAAACAAATATGTCCTGGATGAGATGCTTCACGGGCGGCTGAATCTTCTCAAAGACGAACGCAATGAACTTTCAAGAGCATGCTAAGAGAAAGATCTTAAAGAAGTATTTATCCCGGGAGGTAGATTAGAGAGGAAGTAAACATATCAAAAGATATAAATAAAGTGGTCAAAAATATGCTTCCAAGTTTCAGCTGCCACAGTCCACAATTGAGTTCTATAAAAGCAACAAAAATCTGCAACTGAGATATAATAAAAGCAAATAAAATTCTTCTACTCAAGAATGATTGTATTGGACTGATACTAATTTGAGTCTTTACAGCTGAAGATTGAAGGAAGTGGTGCTAGAGCTTTTCTCATAAAGCACTTTTACTGGAGCGGGTGGCATTGCTCCATCCATCATCATGTCGTTAGCAACCGATTCCTGGGGACTCGCAGGATTTCTATTTGTAGGATCTGTGGCTATTCAGAACAGCCTCACCATGGTGATGCCTATTTATTGTCTGCCTGTGCCATATGAAACAT